CCAAATGGTTAAGTCCACGTACTCTTCTGTCCATTTCTTCGCCGCGGGTATCAGGGAAACGTAATCGGGCCAGGGTTAATGCAGTGGCCCGGGTGTGGTTAAAGACCAAATACTGGGCTTACAACAAAGAGAATAAAAAGTCGTATCACTTGAGATCGTTGCATATTATTAAACTCTGCCCTAAAAACACTGACAATTTGATTTTGTTTAGCATCGTCTCTCATCTTAACACTAATTCCTTTGAAACTAACGCACTAGCAGTGTACAGTTTACCTTGTCAACAACAGCAGTTTCATAAATTGTCATTTATTAAAAGAAACTACAAAAAATTTTGTTAAAAGGAATTGGTACTAAGGTCATATGGATTTAAGTTTTCATCACAAAAAAGCTTATCTTATTGTTACCTCTTAAAATACATACTGCATGCTTCATGCTACAGGGCTATGTTAAATGAAGGACTAAGTTGCTTATGGCAGCTAACGTTAAACGATTACAAAATTGGTACCGGATGTAGATTACATAGGATTGGCATTTAAAAACTTGCGATTATAAATAGCAAATTAATTTTTTTTTGATTTACTATATTCAGAATAATACCACAAGCCAAGTATTGTGGACAACATAAAATACTGCAATAAATCCAGCCTGTCCGTTGAATTAATGGAAGCATTAAAATTCAACTTTCTAGTAGAAACCAGTTAACAGTTAATAAATAATGCCTGGCCTGTACACCGTATCTTGAATAAAGGCGCACAACAGAGTGGTTTTTCATGTTTATAGCATGTCTATCAATTTCCGCTCATGTCTGCTCTACAAAACGTTTAAAGGAGCAACTTTGATCGATACTTTTATAGTTCAAGGAATTAGAAAGTAAATTTTACAAGTGCGAAATAACGTGATTATTTTGGCATATCTAGAAGTCCAGATGTTTCAAGATTGCTAAAGTATGGAACTTCGCATTACAATGTCATTGTTATCATCACTTTAGGCCTATTCACACATTAAGCATATTTAGGCCAATTAGCCAGCACATTAAAATAATATAATGCGATGAGGTTCAGTATAATTCTTTTTTCTTAATACGTGATCATTTTTCGATGCATTGCGTTTGAATATGCAATTTAAAACCCGTTGCGCTCGGTAGTCCAATCTGTGACCTTGATTGGGAAGCATGTTTTCATCAACGTTCCGAAATCGAATTATGCGGGTTCTAAATGCTTTCCGTTTTTACTCCACTAATAGTGTTCAAGGAGGTGGGACAGTTTTAACTTTTTTAAACTTAGCATAGGTGAGCAGCTCAAATGTCTAGCAGATGCTGTAAATAATCGTGATTACCTCGCCGTCGAAAGAATAATTGTGGAACAGGTTTATTGTTAGTATTTTATAACAATTTGTTTTAAGGATCCTTTTGAGGTTCGCCGACTGAAAATGGAATCATATACCTCAGAGGAAGAACCAAATATAATAGCTTCCTCATCGAAATCTAGACTCATAGGGTGCCTATGTAAGTAACTAGGTGAAACTGGCATTTAGTTTCCGGTTAGTTGACCATATGATTTATAATTGTCAAGAAATCTTTGCACTACATATCTTTTACCCAGTTGTTACTTTTTGGCATCCACTTTTTCCTAAATTTGTTAAGCATGTTTTTTTCGGAATGTGTATCCTTAGTATTTGGAGTACTTATTTTGATTTCGTGGCGTTGTTACTTTCTCCAAGGGTTACCAGCTTTACCTCATTGTACAGGTGAACCTGAGGCTGACGCTATTAACTGGATGGAAATAACAAAAGGAAAGCCAGCCAAATGCTACTGTGGAAACTGGTTTAAACTTGTCGATTTCGAAGAGTACCTTGCGCAACCATGGAAGCCCAAAAACTGAGTTGTCATGTTTTATCAATATTGCCTATCATTTTGTGTACATACATTTACTTCCTATCGTCTTCCACCTCTAAAGTCATTTTAACATGGAATCTTTTGGTGGTATTTACTTGCCTATTTATTCATTAAAAATTGACTCTGGAAATCTAGGTGGAACGTTTCAAACGCTTGTTAACGAAAGTGATCTCTGCCACATTGAGCCTAGATGTTCCAGTAATAAAACGGTTAATTTGTCTTATATTGCTGTTATCCACCCGAAATATCAGAAAATCCGCGCAGATTTGGATTTTAGAGGGCCTTCTAAACTGAAATTTGGAAACCGCTGCGCAAGCGTGAGATTCTAATCAGCCTTCTCCTTTTTCACTAAACACACAGTTTGACCATTGGCCACCTGTGCATCGCTTATTTCTGAATTAGCTTTGCTGGTTCTGGTAAGTGTCGGTTTTAGGGGTTCTTCATTATCGTTTTTAGATAGTATCACAGTAAAATTTGCACACTTTGGAAGTCATCTAATTTATTAAATTGTCTTGCTTTTGCCAGTGTGTCGGATATATTAGCGCGTCACGTTCCACCTTACTTTAAGGATCTTCTGTGACCTTTTTACTAATAACTTTAAGTTTGCGCATATTGTCAAGTCTACATTTTGATTAACTTCAAATGTAACAAGAATGAGCAAACACTCCAAGTCAGTAATTGGATTTAGAAAAAACGGTGAAAGTGAAGCAGCTTTCCTGAGTCCACCATTTCTTCGATGCAAACTAGTTCCGAAACTATGTCGTTCTTTGTCGAAATACGGTTGCCAAAACCTTATGCGTGAAATTAAATTGCAATTTTTTTCGGAATTTCTGATAGAGCACAGATTTATCACCTGTTTTAGTTAATTACTTATAAACTTAAATGTTAACAAGTTGCACGAGATAAATAGCGAAGAGGAATTTACGGTAAAAGCTTTTGTTAAAGGTTAGCGTCCTGTAATATTTGAAAGGGAACGTGAAAACATATTCTTTGAGTATTCGGTAAGTTACTGTTTGTCTTTGATTTTAATCATCAGCTCCCTTTAACCAGGTAGATCTGATAATTTTAATCGCTTTGTTACCTATTATCATACAGTCCAACAACATTGAAGGGACTCATACACTGCTATTACGTGACTGTGATTTAGTTTTTACTATACAAACTCCTAAACATGGCTAGATTCATTGATTAAAATTGAGGAATCATTGAAATTGCATTAAGGGCGCGGACATATTTGATCACGCCGAGCTCAGGTAGTCCCGACACTGGGCATTACGGTAGCTGTCACTAATCAGAAACAAGTATGGAAATGAAATCCTATAAAAGTAGCAGTGTAATCAGGATAGTGGACTCAATGGACAATTCGGGCTTGAGGTTGATCAGCAAAGTTTGTCTGTTGAACCATACTTTTTATGCCTGGGCGCGTTAACTCTACGACAGTTTTGCGCGGACATACAATGGCGTTGACATGTTGGATCCTGCTGAGCTTAGCCAGTTCTGTCATATTTAAAAAAATAGTAAACAACCGGTGACAAGGATGAATGAGAAGCATTATTTAAGGGAAGGCGATGCCAGAGTTGAGGACTTGGGTGGATGACGGTTTACGGGTTGCTCCGGTTTGAGATTTACTTACAAAGCTCGCTTTGTTCAGCCAACCTTATTCATACTAGAGTTCGTGTATTATACAGCTGACTTTTGGATCGTGGTTAAAATTTGAGACGTTTCAGAAAAGTCATGAACAGAAAAGATGCTAACTTGCATGAATTTGTGTGATCTTTTCGAGTCAATAATGAAATTTACAGCAATCCTCTAAAGTGATCGGAGTCTGTCAACTTTAAGATTGGAAAAGTGATTTACGACAAACCATCAAGTAATCTCTCCAATTGTTAACCAATAAAAACTGATGATGCGTTTTAATTAAACCAATCAGGTACAAGTGGGTTTGTGTGTGAAAACTCGTTGAATTCGCTTTGTGATGTCTATTACGGATCCCCCTACTCTTGACACAGTATTACAGGCCATTGACGCTTTGTATGTTAATCCTGAAAATTCTGTAAAAGAAAGTGCATCAAAATGGTTGTGCAGCTTCCAACGATCAGTAGAGCTCATAAATTCATATATTCCCTAGGTTTATGCATGGGAAATATCTGACCAGCTACTTTACTTAAAACGTGATTTAAGTTCCAGTTACTTTGGTGCACAGACAATCCGGATAAAGGTATTCTTTTCGCGTTCTTGATTTTGGTAGATTCAAATGTATTTCACGGAACTTCCAGCTTCTGCTCATATGGTGTGTTTAGTTGTACCATTATTTACTGTCCTCAGGCCTTAAAAGACTCTTTATTAAATCATGTTTTGAAGCTTGCGGATGACACTAATAGTTCTATTGCGAACCAGCTTTGTCTTGCTGTTGCCGATTTGTTCTGCCAAATGGTACAGTGGACCGATGCCATTTCTGATATTGTTAAAACGTAAGCGTGAATTTAATGTATTTATTGTAAAGGTTGTCGTCGTCCGATGTCACTGCGTCGTATTTAGTTGATGTTCTTAGATTTATTTCCGAGGAAGTAAGTACTTGTAATGCATTCAAAAACACAGATTCAAGCTGAATTCGAAATCACTACGACTTGGGTTAAATCGAAGGCACGCCTTAATGGCACATTTGGAGTCTCAAAAGGGATTGGTTCTCGACTTCCTTGTGAGTTTTGTTAGAATTTGGTGGTCAATTCATGTTTTACAAAGCAAGTGACCTGCTTTTACTTTTCAGTCTTACAAAATAAAGAATGCAAACGCTCAAAATCTCGCTAGAATATTTAATTGTCTTGCCAGTTGGTGGGACAACACAGGAATTATGACGGAGAGCGATGTTCGCGTTTCACCACTCCTTGAGGCGGCATTTTATGTGCTTCAGCAACCAGAAACATATCCTGAGGCAACTTATAATGCAGCCATGGAATGGATTCTAGCATTACTTTACTCATGCACTGTAAGTAAATTTCGTCGAAAGATTATGTAAGAACAAAGAATTGCTTGTATGATTTGGTCCACTTTAACGGGTAGTTCAATACTTATTAGGCGTTTTATAAAACAAGCCTCACCTTACTGCTTTTCCCTTTGTAGACAATTTCGGGCTACCGAAATGAGCTTCTGAAATTGTTGCAGACCAACATTTATCGTCTGCTTGATGTCCTCCGACAGTGTTCGCTGCAGGCATCGAAAGCTGCCGACAATTCCATGGCTGAATGTTCGGTGTATGTCGATCGAGTATCAAGCATTGCTCAAATTTTCGATTCACTTGCGCGGACTGTAAGAACCGCACTGGTATATAGTCCTACACCCCCTGGCTCCGGTGAGTTTGGCGATTTGCACACACTAGACTGCCTTCTTGCTGTGCTGGAAGCTCCACCGCCTGCTGGTTGTCGGGCAACTGCACTTCACACCTTTTATGCTCTTCAATCGTTGGCCGATGACGCTGCCCGAGTAGGTCTTGCTTTTTTCACCTTTAGATGCCTCACTGCTGCGACTTTTCTGAATCGAAAATTTTTCCCCTATTTAGCACCACACCAATTTGACCCCATCCCCGGGTCGACAGAACCCGTCTGCGTCCCCTGCAGGCGACATGGCCTCCAACGCCAACTCCCGCCCCGCCACATCTCTCCTAATTCCTTACTTCACTCGTGTTGTCGTCGCGTTGACGCGTTACTGCCCCAGCAATGCAGAGGACCTCGAGGCAGCTGAAGATCTTCAGGCGTTTCGTGATGATGCTCATGGCTTAATGCAGGATATTGTCGATCTTGTTGGTGCTGACACCATCTTTGTGGAGGTACGTGGCTTTTTGTTTAGTTTTACATCCTCTACTAATTTCGCTCACTTATATGTTTCTAGCTGAAATGAGACAATAAATACACCGACCATTCTCTACCTAACCAGCGTTTTTTCACGCCTGATGTTTCAGCTATACGAGCACATTCGACAGCTGCAGGAAATGAACTCCCTTGGCACTGCAGTCAATGTTTTCCGCGAAGCCGAAGCCTGCCTCTTTATGCTAACAACTGTTGCCAAACGCCTTTCCCCCCACGACCCAGAGGGCCGCATCGCGTCGCTCATCTCCACCCTTGTCCTGCCCGGCCTCGCAGCGGTGCCGCCGCCTCCGCTTCAGGAGGTGGGCTGCCTCCTCTACGCTGAGCTCTCGCACTGGGTAGCGTGTCACCCAGACATTCGACGGCAAATCGTTGAACAGCTAATTCAGATCGTCGAAAGGGCCGCGGGTGTGCCTGCTGCCCAGTTACAGGCAAGTTCGCGCATGCTTTTGTGGTGCGGCTCTGTGCTCGTATCCATCGTGTTGTACTGAAAGGAGCTGTTGATATAATACGGTCTTTTGCGCTTCATGCAATAAGTTGTTTACCTGATTCCTGAATATGATAGCCACTTTAAAAAAAACACCACTTTTTACTGCCACGTACTTAGTGCACCGCGGTGCAGCTCCATGGATCGTGTAATTTAGTTAACCCACATGCACACAAACACACACATGAAGATTTCAAAAACAATCATTTCCAGCATCCACGCCTATAATTCCAGACGAACCATTGTCTTCCAGGTCATTGCACGTTTTCGCTCTGATGATCCCTTTGATTATACCATTTCTGCACTTTTTCAAAATACAAGATGGAAAAGCACTAGCAATCGCGTTTTCCACCTGACCCCCCCTGCTGAACCGGTATTAGCTAAGCCCTAAGTAGCTTTTTCCGTGCTTGTCGGTCTTCGGTTCAGCTGTTGCTTGCTACTGGATTATCCCTCTAGACTTACTGATTGCGCTAACACATCTCCTCATATAGCCTGGCCAAAAGCGGGCCGTAGGTGCGGCCATCGCTGCTCTCGGAAGTCTTTGCAAAGTGTACCGGCCTTTGTCAGTTCCGGTTGTCAACGCATCCTCTAACGGGACCGGAACGGGAACCACCAGTTTGCTGGACGAGCACTGGAAGGATCTAATCTTCCGTGTGGTCTACTCCCTACCCCGCCTGTCCTGGGTTCCGGTTAACGACGCCATCGATTTCTTCGAGGGTGTCTGTCGCGGTCTCATGGCGTCCATTGTCTACGCCCCGTCGACCAACATCCCCACGGACCCTCGGCCGGCTCGTGCGGCCCTCCCCGAACGACTGGCCCAGTTGGCCTCGGTCAACGTAGAGTGCATTTCAAAAGTGAGTTTGCTTTAGTGGTTTTGTCCTTCCTTTAGTTCTTCAGCACTCGTTCCCGCATTCAGTCGACACGTTCTTTTATAGATTTTGATTGTAAACTGTCATTGGCCGCTGTGTTATCAACTGATACCAACCGCCGTTATGCCATTTTAGCTTATAGAACAGAACCAGCCAATAGAAGGCGTGGACACCTTGTCGGACCCCTGTGTCTGGCTGGACTACCTGTCGACCATCTTCCGTTCGCTGCAGAACCTCGTTTCACGCCTCGACGACGCCTACCGGCGAAGCCGTTTGAACAGTGTCTCCACGGATCAGGTTGAGCAGCAGCGACAAGCCGAAGTGAACAGTCTGGGGGAGTCGGCTGAGGCCTGCTTGCAAGGCTGTCTAAGTGTCGTCACAAACATTGTTTGGCCCGTCATTGGCCGGGCCTTGGAGCACTACGGGAGCAAGGTGCGCCCGATGGAGCGGTGCTGTCGCGTTATTCGATTCATGGCACGCTCCTTATCCGTCAACCTTAGGGAAATTCTTCCCGACATCGCGAATAAGGTACGCTGACTTCAAATCCTTCTTTTACCTAATCTCCCGTAAGGATGTAGCACTTTGAACCAATCCAATACCTCGATGTCCTTGTTGTCCGTTACACCAATGTACTGGTTTAGTCCTTGTAAGCTTTAGTTGTAGTTTTTTTCGTTCGATGCGTAGACATTAGGAGTAGCCTGAAACTGATCAACATCTGCTCTGACCCATCGACATCGAAAGGTGAGCTAGTGAGGCTCATAGACCCTTGTCACTCGTGGTCAAGAAAAAGCGTACATGACGTTAATAGATACAGCTGCGAGCGATAGCCCGGTGCAATATAAAAAATATTGATCAAGGGACACAACGATGTATTGACCTTTCGGGTGTGGCTGCTTCCCCCCATGCGTCGGTGTGTGTGTGTGTGTGTGGATATTTATAGGCCACAGCAGTGTCCAGTGGACGCGGCCGCAGTGCGTTTTCAGGTGCTTTCGCATCAGCAACGCCGTCGCTGAGAATCGTGGGCGGAGCGCGCGTATGATTGGGGAAATGATGATGATAAGACCAACTAAACATCTTCCTATGATTGACTTCCGTAATCACTAGTGGCAGCGATTGAGCTACAGGTGGTGGGTGTCTAAGCATTGTCTGCTGTTTGTTCTAGCTGGTGCAGGCCTTCCAACAAGGACACCACTCGTGTTTCCTTTACCTCGCCGGTGTGTTGGTGGATGTGTTCGGCGACCTTCCAGACTGCCGGCCGGGGCTTGTCGGACTCTTCGAGGTAACGCATTCTACTCATTCATTCATTCATTCGATTTAAGTCGGCGGCAGGTGCGGTCTTCATATGATGGTGTGTCTTCCTGTTATAGGCCTTGGCTCCGCCCACTCTCGCTGCTCTGTCATGCAACCTCGCCGAGCAGCCACACACCATAGAGGATTTCTTCCGCCTGTGTGTTCGTCTCGTGCAGCACTGCGCACCCGCCTTCCTCTCCAGTCCCAATGTTGATCTATACGCCTTATTGGACACCGCTTTGCGCTCCCTTGACCTACTGACTCTCGCCGCGGCCGGGTCAGGTGCTGGGGACCGCGACACAAACCAGTCCAACGGCAACAACGGCGCTGGCAGTTCAAAGGCCGGCTCTTCGGCCAGCACCGCCGCTGCTAGATTCCTCTTGGAGGCCTTGATCTTCACCACAGAGGCCTCCGAAGACTCTCCCGCTGCAATCGTGAGTGTGAACGACGCCTCGGCCCTTCCGCCCGCCACCTCTGAGGGTAGTGTTGGAGCTAGGCGTCTCCTCTTTTGGCTGCTTAAACCGACAGAGCTGTGTGGCGGACAGCGTCTCACGACTTCCTGTGTCCACAGTTGTTGCTTGGGTTTGTTGGAGGATCGATTTCCTGACATGGCTGAACTCTTGCACCGTTTGAAAATAGTCATGCCACGAGAGGTGAGTGACCCCTCGTAGTTAACGATTTCGGACTTGATTGGCTGCTTCGGGGTTGTGATGCGCGTCTTTCTGGCCGGCTTCACTTTTAGATCTTTGCGCGGTGGTTGGACTGCGCACTGGCGAGCCTGCCAGTCAGGAGAGCCGACGGTCTGGTGCAGGCGACCGACGAACAGATAGCCGACTTCAAGAACTCCGTTATGAAGTGAGTAATGCAATTGGTATGACCACTTAGTACCGCCTGATTGGATAAATTACATCGTAGGCTAGCGAGTCTTGTGTCTACCATTTAACCTCAACCGCCTACTTGTTTGTTGTAGTGCCTCCCGCACGAACGGCATCATCCACGCGCTCGACGCATTTGTAGTGCTTTTCCGCTAGAGCCAGAGCCCTGAACCTGCCCGATCCGTGATTCGACAACTATTTTTACCTTTTGTATAGAACAAAAAAGGTCTAATGTTTAGTTGCTTTGCAGACACCCATAATAAGGTTCTTTTTGCAGTGTTCCACCTGCTCTGTGAGACAGATTTGATCAAGTGGACGCAAATAAAAGCAACACCTACATTTGTCGTCCTAATTCATTTTGACGCTTGGGAACTCACTTCGTTGTTGTTGTTAGTAGCCAAGTTTCATTACACTGTTCCCCTCCTTGCCCTTTAGTAGGATTTAAGAGGTAGGATCTTTGTGAAGCAACGCGTTCCGGAGGACTACGTTACTTTATAAATGCGTCCTCATAAGCATATTACGAGTAAAACAAGTGAACCAGTAGCGCGTATGGGCAATTGGCCCAAGGGTATTCTTCAATTTGCTAATTTAGTGCAGTTTGCATGATTATGCAAGCGTTAAACGAAGGAGTTTGTAGGTAAAAAAAATGTACAATCCCTGAAGGCTTCGTGTCCAGGACCTACGTGGAGCTAAGCCACCGGAGAAGGCGGTAGTGGCGTTTGGCAACGGCCCAGAGCGCCTGGTAGGGGTGCTTCGCATCGATGGGGGTGCTAACAATGCCCAGGAAGGCTCGAACGCGTGGACTGAGGTGAAGCAGGTGGAGGATCAGTTGATGGGAGGCCGAAGTGCACCAGAAAATTACGAGGGCCTGAAACAAATGAGGGACTTGAGAAGTATGGCCTGGAAACTAGGGCTTCGTGCAACGCATTTTTAAACGACGTCTTCTAGCCACCTGATTGGAGAATTGACTTTTACAGCTGCTCCAAAACTATTAACGGTGTGAGGTAGTAACGGAGACACCTTACAATCGTTGTTTCTACAAAAAACTGAGGGAGTGAATCGCCTGGACATGGGAAGAGGCCTTACACACCTTTGAGAACAATGTTTTGATCATGAGATATCGGAATGGGCCCACAAGGGTGTAACGATTTGCGAGGTTTTGAGCTTCGGGTCGGTTTTTGGTTTTACAAGAAATACTGAGTCGTGAGCAGACAATGGAATGCACGAGGCAAACTTACGGACGGTGCGACGAACGAGACGGTCGTGAGTAGGAACGCACCAAGCCCACAGACACCATGAGCGAATTTCAGTTGCCAAGGCAGTCGCGGGGGCACCACGACAGAAATTGACTTGGGGGCGGCGCCTTGAGAGTCTGCAGGCATCGACCGAGCTGTTGCGAACCCGTAAACACGTCGTAAGTGGCCGATCTCGACGTTAAGCGTAGTGACAATGGCTGTCAACGCGATTAGACCCAGAGAGGTGGTTGGGGAAGTGAGGCCTTCGGCCACGAATTCAGGTATCATCGGAGGCCAATCTATTAAGAGACGTCGATCAAGAAAGAGGGGGCTAAATGGATCCGATCATCGCCTCGGTTTTTTCAGAAACGAAAATGGTAAGAGAATAGTGTCGTACCAACATAATTGCCTCCCCTACCTAGCACACAATGGACTAGCACCGTGAGTTCTCAAAGGAATTTCCAGGTCGAAAAAGTGTCCACAACTTACAAAGGAGGGGAGTAAGCTGCAGACCACATGCATTCCGCAGTCCAAATGTGGCAGTCATCCAAAAAGGGAGTTGAAACATTCCGAAAATGACCGATTTCAATGGATGACACCCCAATTCCTGACATTTTTGAGCATATGTTCTCCGATACTTGGCGAAAACAAGAAGCAATGTAAGTAGTTACCTGTTTAACATGTTTCATATTAACCAAGTTCAACCATTACTAAGTATAATTTTTGGCATTAGAGTAAATGCCTGAAAAAAGTTATAACATGCATAATTTCAGAGCGAAACGACTCTGAACACAAATTACCAACCAGTAAGACTTAGACTCAAAATATTCAAGACCGAGAAATCTGAAGTGAGTCGGAAGGAGATCAGATAAGAGGGTTATGGATAAAATTGCATTGCAATTTTCGGAGACTTTTAAAAAAAAGTGGGAGAATGATTACCAGTGAATTCTGTAGTCTGGTGTCAACCATTCCGTTTTTCTGGCGAACAGCATAGCGAGGACTCGACGCCACCAAAGAGCTTTCGTAATGAGCTGATGCGATGAGAGCCTGGTTCTTCTCCGTAAATGTGTAAAGGGGACCAGCTAAGGCAGTGCGCAGAGCCAGAGTTGAGGTTACAATCGTCGTGGCATAGGAGGAAAAGTGGCCGAATTCTCGACACCAACGCAAGCCCTCGACTACTGCGACCATGTGCAGTTGTTGGGGATTGAAGAATTCGGTGAGAATGTAAAAAGCAGGACCGGAATAGGATCGGTATAAAGGCAGGCAAGAAGGACGGCGACAAAGAAGATATCCAACCGCCATCTGTTCGCCAATGAATTTTAAATTCGTTAACGAAAATAAGTACCTATAATAAAGTGAGTCTAATGTTAGTTAATAATGAAAAGCAGCTTGTTTGATATTACATATATTACTGACAAAATTATTCCGTCCCTTCATTCAGCATGATTTTCTGTGGGGTTGATTTATCCACATCATCAGCCGATTAATACGGATTTGCGACGTCCCCCTCCTCGCCATCCGACTGAAATTTCCTTCTATTCATTGATGACACTAGCTATTGCTAAAACAATGACATGTTTCCGTATTTTAATCTGAAATCTACAACAATACGAATAACTAGTGGTAATTTATCAAGCAGAATGAGGCATGAATTTAATGCTAGTTTTCTATGCGCATTAAAGGCAAAAACAGTTACATATCCTCTTTAAACTTGCTTTGATAAATTCGATTTAGTGTGCAGAACCACTCAGTACAAGAATGCACTAGCCGGTCATCCAATGCCAGCCGTCAGCCTGATATTAACCACTCAACTTCTAGAGAGAAAAATTAGAGACTCCCTGTTTAAAAGTAAGGTTTTCATGGTAGCTATATGCGAGAGTGTTTAAGTTAACATTCAGTTGATAAAACGTGTCAACTACAGCATTGGGCTGGTCGTATTGCGGTAAATTCAGCAATGCCTACAGTCGAAAAAGACAGTCTAGTTTTGTTGAGAAAAATGGAGCTATTAATGGATAGGACTTTGTGATTGTGAACTTCAGCTCACTAAGCGGTCATTAATTTGGGCAATTCATAAGGGGATTTGATGAAGTACAGTACATTGGACAATAAATTAAAACGGAGTTTATTGCAGAAAAAAATTCATGACAATCAGTCTCTCAATCACGTTCTTCAGAGTTAAAAATTTATGTTTAAATTATAATCTAAATGTGCATGCAGTAAAATTGGTCCATGCTTGCAATGAATTGTCGTTTACTCATGCACAAATAACCCATCCCCATGACACTCAACCAAATATTAGATCTGCTGATTAAATGCGTCGTTCTTTAAATAGCATTTTGTTAGTTATTGAGGTAGTAAAAGCTTGGAGAAAATATCACGTGTAGTGCCTTAAAATGATGGGGAAATGACGTCGAACGAATTAATTGGTTCATAAAATAAAAGTACGGTTGAGCAAAAAACACTGGAAATGAAAGCAAATGAGAATGTTATTTTACAGTCATGCATTAGTCAAACCTTTTAAATCCTATTTTTGTATTCATTAAGAACAACTTGACTATGAATTTTCATGGTTCTCAAACTAGTTCTGTATTTCAAGGTCGTGCTTTGGATGCACCAGTTTGATTACATTCTAGGGTGCGGTCTTTTGGATTTCAGCTATAGAATATGAGCGACAAGGAAAAACTTACTAGGATGTATATGCCGTTCTATGCAGCATGCGGTTTTACTGCCGGTGGATTTATTTTTTTTCTTTTTTCCTTTTCAAGTCCATACTGGATTGAATCATATGATTATGTACATAGCTCATTTCTTCATTTGGGATTATGGTCCGCATGTTTCAATAAATTTATCCACCCACAGGTAATGCAAGATAGTAACCTTAATTTAAGGACTTTCACGCAAATGAGTTAACTGGATGTTATTGGATGTACGATCGTTTCTTTTTCCAAATTGGTATTTGGGAATGGCTTAACCCTTATTGGTTGGTGGCAATCCAAACCCTCATTATTGTGGCATTTATTGCTAACTTAATTTCTGTTCTTGTGCTTGTGCTCTATTATTTGTTATACGGTCAACCTGCAGCAGAATCAACAATTGTTTGTGGATTACAGGTACTCTCGCTAATAATTTTTCATTCATTCATTGCGTAATAATTCTACTTAAATTATTTCGATTGTGAACTGATTTTACCTGCAATAAAAACAACTTTTTTTATTTAGACGCTTCTAGACGGTTTGTTAAAATTTGTTATCGACACTTAATTGGCATTCCCACCAAAGCTATTAGACGTCTGGAAATGTTTTTGTCATTTTCACTTGGACAGAGCTAGGTATGGTCGTTTTTGGGTAGCTCAGTCGCATTTGATTTTTTTCTGTCCACCATTTTGAGGATCCTTTAAATTGTATATTTCACCTGGTTTACGGGTTACTGATAATGAGTGAATTGTGGGATTAGTTTATTACGTGGATGCTGGTAGGAAGCTGAAATGAAGTATGAGACTTTCAATTCTTGAATCGCGTGTGCAAAGACGACAGGCTGAATTTAATGTAGCAGTATTGGTTTTAGAATATGGACCTACTTTTTTATCCTGTACGTTAAAAATCATCCATAGAATAATCTTGCACTTATCAGTAAGAATTACAATAGCGTTAATTTTTCTCTGCTGATCGCTTAAGGTCGTTACTAGAAATCGCACGCTTTTTTTGACTTATCGAGAGTTCTGTGAAGATTCATAAATTTCAAGAATTTTGCTTCTTATTCACACCCTTTATTGTAATTTTAAAAATGTAACTACTGTCGTAAAAAAATTGTCCTAACCATCAATCATTACTTCATTTTCTGTTGTGCAGATTTTCACTGGCGTTCTGCTTTCGATTTCTTTAATCGTTTTCGGCGTGAACTCACAGGATCGGCGGTGGATGCAAAGACCTGACCAGAACTTCCTCTCGTGGTCCTATGGATTTCTAATATTGGCAACAATATGTTCATTCATCGCAGCCGCGTTTTTGTGCTGCGTGAGCTATACCGACAGAGCTGCTCAGGTGCGTTACTTCTTTTTTTTAATTACAGGGTGATCACCCTACCACCTCGGTCCTTAAATTTTGTTACGATTTATTGACCTCAAACTGCGGAAACTCAATACAGAAAGCGTTTTTAATGAAGTCAACAACTTGCCAAGCAGCTAATGAAATGTCGATTTGACCAAAGAACCATAAATCGTTATTTACGCGCGTTTTTTCCTCCAACTTTTTCAATGATTATTCAGGCTTCCATCGAAAGAGAGCGATTACATTTGCTGGTTTTATTTTCAAGATACATTACAATATTTTGCTGAACTCTGTACTTTCTATGGTTCTGCCTGCGTAAAGTGCCGAAATAGTCTGCGCTATAAAAGTCATCACATTTATTTTCAATATTGCAGTGCCAAAAGTTTGGTCTCCAAGTTTAATTTGACAGTTAAAGTTTAAGAAAGCAACGTGTTTTTAGGAAACTCTTGTCGCAGGTTTTTTTTTCAGAATAAAATCTAGATTGTTATATCTATGTAGACTTTGTCCCCAGTACTTGACCAGTGATAACCTCATAACATAAAAGCGCCTAGTAACTGTGGATATAGCACTGGTATTGGGTTTATTTTGCTGGAATAATCCTTATACTAGGGGCCCTCAAAACCTGCTAAAAAGGTATTCATGCATAATAAGACTACTGACTTGCCTTTTGTGACTTGTAACAGTTGGACTTTTATGGTACAAATCTGATAGGGCGACAGCATAGCAATAATAATGGCTATAAAACATTGTTTAAATCTCGGTTATCTCCAGAAACTTCACTTTCACATCGCTAAAACCCAAGCTCACCCCACCAATTCAGTATGCTTCTAGGAAAATTGACCCGCATAACTCAGTAGCCTCATTCAAACCTGTTAGAGGGAAGTGGAACACTTCGAAGCTGTCGAGGGACAATATGGAGCGCGTTCCGTCGCGGGAGGCACCTACCTCACCGGACGTCACCCCTCTACCCTCTTCGCTCGCAGTCTCTACGGCACCCAGTCGCGCATTGGTGGTGGCGGCGGGGTTGTGGTCAACGTACCCGCCACCGATGATGGACCACCTCAGGTAAAAACGTCACTTCCTTATCAGGCTGTCCGGTTCTATGGCGAAAGCCTAATTCTTGCCTAGTCGTCGTGTAGGAAAAAATAAAGTTGCTGCTGGCAGTGGCTAATTCTACGATGTGAAGACAACACTTGCGATTCTTTAACTAAGACGCATGATTAGATTATGACTTGCTCTTTCTTTTTCTAGCAAGTGGAAATCGGAGGCCCCGGTGTTTACACAGGTGGACCAATGAGTAGTCAGTTGAGTCCGCTCCGGGAAGAACAAGTTGTGGACGACGACGACGGCATTTTCTCAGACCAAGGCAACGACACCTACGTCTCAAGTGGCAACACGAGTGCCAGACAGTCCTCGGGGAGAGGTCGATATCATTCGGACAATGACACCCCAACTCAATCATTGCTTTATGGATATCGAAGAGCCCAACGCTGACCGGCCATTGGATGCGGCATTAGAAATGGCGAACCATGTACATTCATTGTGATATTAACAATTACCTAAATTTTCACTAAATGGATTTGCGTTCTTTGAATGAAGCCATTTTGCGTCTTATTGGTAGTTAGAAACCCTGGTGCAGAACGTTCCGCTCATATTTAAGCCAGCGTGTGACGGCTGAAGGTGCGCCCGGAGCCGAGAAAGAAGGAGTTGACTCGGAACTCCACAACTTATTTTAGAGAAACATCACAACCCTGGTAAAGAAAAGTCTGTAATTTGTAACACAAAAAGGAAGAAGCTGAAAATCGTGACAGTGGGTCACTTCGCCTGCAATAACCCAATAATAAATTCATATTGCGGTCGGCGTAAAAAAAATGAACTAAAAATGTGAAGAAAAATAGTAATTGAAAAATGCAGTTAAAGGCCAGTTTTTGCGGCTTTAACAAGCTCTAAAAGCACCACATCAAAAACCAGGTCAGCGTCTCCCGGAACATCTGGCGGCCTTCCTAATGCACCATAGCCCAAATGACCAGGGATGAAAATGCGGCGTTTTTCGTGGACGCACATTCTAAAAGTAGTTGAAAGGGGGCGTGTCATTACACGTGGTTTAGGCGAAATTATTTGCAGCTTCAGTGAAACTTCGCGTCATCACCGTTTGCTGGAAATCGAATTAGTTTCATGTGGAGCAACAAGCAGCCATATTTTGCCAAACTTAGTTTACAGTGTTCTAGGGCTAATTGTTATTCTAACATCACCACACTAATTTGCAGTAAAAATTGCGATTACTGGGAGTATAAGTCACGTTCCAAAAACTTGTGTAGACTTTTATCTTTAGTTCAGAAGCTTAATTGCTAACATAATCGAAACAACACTTGCAAATTTGTTATTACATAAAGACTAAAGGCTTTATCCTAAAAGCCACCAACCAAACTAGAGTTAACAGAGCGAAACTGGAAAAAAACGGTAGCAACGTACCCGAGAATCCCCTTGTCCCAGCCTTCAATAACCGTTCCGGCGCCAACCTTAAATGTAAACCGGGATTGGTCGGCATTTGATGCGAAGGTCGTGTTATCCTTTAGCAACCTGCCAACAAACGTGACGGACACTTCATCCCCTTTTTCAACGGTCGCGTGGCATGCTTCCGTAGGAACAGAAAGAATGATGCCAATTTCGATTCTTGAAAGCTTTTTAGAGTGATCCAAGCATTCCACGCAAATTGGAAATAAGGAAAGCCCCAGCGCACAAAAGATGGACAACAGCATATTC